CCTTTTTGATTGTAGTCATTACAGCAGGTTTTTTGTACTATGTTATTATAGTTTTATTTTGCATTTCTGGGATGATTAATGAGACTGAACCTCCATCCATTTGTTTATTAAGATTGCTTTTAACAAGTACTTCTGACCATTTTCCTATTAACCAGTCATCTGTTTAGTTGATATGAAGTTCTTTTTAGACTCATTCTATGTCTTGCATACTTACTGAAAATACCTTTACGTATATGTTCTTCATCTTTCTAATGAACAAATGATTTTTTTGATGAGTAGTAGTTCTCATTTTAATGTAGTCCAGTATATCAATCTTTTCCTTTTGCTGAGTTCTGTGTTGTGTTAAAGTTATGTTTTCCTGCTACATTAAAAATGTTTCCTACTGTAGGTTCATAAACATTCTCCCACATGGTCTTCTAAATACCTTATTATTTTTTTTTGGTATCCACTGGCCACATGTGGCTATTTACATTTTTTTCATATCTTTTTCTTTATTAAGGTATCATTGATATACAATCTTATGAAGGTTTCACATGAGCAACACTGAGATTACAACATTCACCCATATTATCAAGTCACCCCTCAACATACCATTGCAGTCACTGTCCATCAGCTCAGTAAGATGTTAGAGTCACCAATCGTCTTCTCTGGGCTATAGTGCCTTCCCCATGCCTCCCCTTCATTATATGTGCTAATCATAATGCCTCTCAATCTCCTTCTCCCTCCGTCCCCACCCACCCTCCCCACACCCTTTTCCTGTGGTAACCCCTAGTCCCTTGGAGTCTGCGAGTCTGCTGTTTAGTTCCTTCAGTTTTGTTTTATTGTTATTCTTCACAAATGAATGAAATCATTTGGTTCTTGTCTTTCTCCACCTGCTTATTTCACTGAGCATAATTCCCTCTAGCTCCATCCATGTTGTTGCAAATGGTAGGATTTGTTTCCTTCTAATGGCTGAATAATATTCCATTGTGTATATGTACCACATCTTTATCCATTCATCTACTGATGGACACTTAGGTTGCTTCCATATCTTGGCTATTGTAAATGGTGCTGCAGAAAACACAGAGGTGCATATATCTTTCTGAGTCTGGGTTCTTGTTTTCTTTGGGTAAATTCCTAGGAGTGGAATTCCCGAGTCAAATGGTATTTCAATTTTGAGTTTTTTGAGGAATTTCCATAGTGCTTTCCACAATGATTGAACTAATTTACATTCCCACCAGCAGTGTAGGAGGGTTCCCCTTTCTCCACATACTCGCCAACAGTTGTTGTTCCTTGTCTTTTGGGTGTTGGTCATCCTAACTGGTGTGAGGTGATATCTCATTGTGGCTTTAATTTGCATTTCCCTGATAATTAGTGATGTGGACCATCTTTTCATGTGCCTGTTGGCCATCTGAATTTCTTCTTTGGAGAAGTGTCTGTTCATATCCTCTGCCCATTTGTTAATCGGGTTATTTGCTTCTTGGGTGTTGAGGCGTGTGAGCGCTTTTTATATTTTGGATGTTAACCCCTTGTCAGATATGTCATTTATGAATATATTCTCCCATACTGTAGGATGCCTTTTTGTTCTGCTGATTGTGTCCTTTGCTGTACAGAAGCCTTTTAGTTTGATTAGTCCCGTGTGTTCATTTTTGACTTTGTTTCCCTTGCCCAAAGAGATGTGTTCAGGAAAAAGTTGCTTATGTTTATATTCAAGAGATTTTTGCCTACGTTTTCTTGTAAGAGTTTTATGGTTTCATGACTTACATTCAAGTCTTTGATCCATTTCAAGTTTACTTTTGTGTATGGGGTTAGACAGTGATCCAGTTTCCTTCTCTTACATGTAGCTGTCCAGTTTTGCCAACAGCACCTGTTGAAGAGGCTGTCATTTCCCCATTGTATATCCATGGCTCCTTTATGGTATATTAATTGACCACATATGCTTGGGTTTATATGTGGGCTCTCTAGTCTGTTCCATTGGTCTGTGGGTCTGTTCTGTGTCAGTACCAAATTATCTTGATTACTGTGACTTTGTAGTAGAGCTTGAAATTGGGGATCAGGATTGCTTTGGCTATTTAGGGTTTTTTGTGGTTCCATATGAATTTTAGAACTATTTGCTCTAGTTCATTGAAGAAGGCTGTTGGCATTTTGATAAGGGATTGCATTGAATCTGTAGATTGCTTTAGGCAGGATGGCCATTTTGACAATATTAATTCTTCCTAGCCAAGAGCATGGGATGAATTTCCATTTATTAGTGTCCTCTTTAATTTCTCTTAAGAGTGTCTTGTAGTTTTCAGGGTGTAGGTCTTTCACTTCCTTGGTTAGGTTTATTCCTAGGTGTTTTATTATTTTTGATGCAATTGTGAATGGAATTGTTTTCCTGGCTTTCTGCTAGATCATCGTTAGTGTATAGGAATGCAACAGATTTTTGTGTATTAATTTTGCATCCTGCGACTTTGCTGAATTCAGATATTAGATCTGGTAGTTTTGGAGTGGTTTATTTAGGGTTTTTTATGTACAATATCATGTCATCTGCAAACAGGGACAGTTTGACTTCTTCCTTGCCTATATGGATGACTTTTATTTCTTTGTCTTGTCTGATTGCCATGGCTAGGACCTCCAGTACTATGTTGAATAAAAGTGGGGAGAGTGGGCATCCCTGTCTTATTCCCAATCTTAGAGGAAAAGCTTTCAGCTTCTCACTGTTAAGTATAATGTTGGCTGTGGGTTTTTCATATATGGCCTTTATTATTTTGAGGTACTTGCCCTCTATACCTATTTTGTTGAGAGTTTTTATCATGAATGGATGTTGAATTTTGTCGAATGCTTTTTCAGCATCTATGGAGATGATCATGTGGTTTTTGTCCTTTTTGTTGATATGGTGGATGATGTTGATGGATTTTCAAATATTGTACCGTCCTTGCATCCCTGGAATAAATATTGCTTGTTTAGGATGGATGATATTTGTATGTATTTTTGAATTTGCTTTGATAATATTTTGTTGAGTATTTTTGAATCTGTGTTTATCAGGGATATTGGTCTGTAATTTTCTTTTTTTGTGGTGTCTTTGCCTTTTGGTATTAAGAGTTATGATGGCTTCATAGAATGAGTTTGGGAGTATTCCCTCTTCAACTTTTTGGAAAACTTTAAGGAGGATGGGTGTCAGGTCTTCTCTAAATGTTTAATAAAATTCAGGTCCTAATATTCTCTAATAATTAGACACCTTATTTTTTTCTCACACACATGCACTTTCTGGATTTTCAGTTGGATAACACTGAAATTATAAAGCAACTGTGGAGAATTGACATTTTCCATAATAACAAGTCTTCCAATCCATGAATATAGCTATCCTTTGCATATATGATACTTATTAATATTGTGTGTTTTTGTTGGTGCAGCCACTATAGAAAACAGTATGGAGGTTCCTCAAAATATTAAAAATAGAACTACCACGTGACCCAGTAATTCACTTCTGGATATTTACATGAAGAAAACAAAACCACTAATTCAAAAGGATATATGTTCCCTTATGTTTATCATATTATAGCCAAGATATGGAAGCAATCCAAGTGGCTATTGATAGATGAATGGATAAAGAAGATATGGTACATATATGCAAGGGAATATTGCTCAGCCATAAAAAGAATGAGATCTTGCTGTTTGAAACAATATAGGTGAACCTAGAGGGAATTATGCTCAGTGAAATAAGTCAGATAGAGAAAGACAAATACCATATGATTTCACTTATATGTATAATCTAAAAAAATAAAATGAATGGACTCATAAATACAGAGAAAAGCTAGTGCTTGCCATAGGGGAGGTAAAAGGGTTATTGGTGAAACAGGTGCAGGGGATAGAGGCACAAACTTCCAGTTATAAGATAAATAAGTCACTGGGATGACAAGTAGAGTGTAGGGAATGCAGTTGGTAGTATTGTGATACCTTTGTATGGTGATAAATGGTAACCACACTTGCCACCATGAGCATTGTGTAGCATACGTAATTTTTAGTCACTATGTTGTACACCTGAAGCCAATATAATACTGTATATCAACTATACATCAAAATAACTTGTATATTTGCATAGAGGGCTTGCACAGTTTCACTGGATTTTTTCTGAGATATTTGATGTTCAATGCTACTGTAAGTGGTAAAGTTTTTAAATTTAAATTTTCAGCTGCTTGTATTATACAATCCAACTGACTTTAGTAAATTGGCCTTCTATCAGTCATCTTGTGAAAATTCATCTAGTCTGATATTTGAAGAACATTTGAGATGTTCCTTAAATATTAGGACATGTATAAATAATATTTGATATATTCCTTGACTTTTTTGCTGGTTCCCGAGCAGTCCAATATTGCATGGAGTTGACACTGGGCATCCATCTGTCAACTTAAGGGGGTAACTTTTAAGGATAATTTTTGTTGTGTTTTTATACTTGATGACATCAAGGAAATTCTCTTTATTCCTAGTTACTAAATGTTTTTTTCAGTACTGAGCACTGACTTTTATTAAAATTTTTCATGTATTTACAGAGATGGTATTGTGTTTTTCTGTAGTGTATTGATGTGGTAAGTTACACTGATTTTTTTTCATTTTAGCCCACCTTTTCATTTACAAATTAACCCCACTTATTGTGATATGTGATATGTGACAGGATTTGATTTGCAAATATTTTTCTTCCAACTTTTACATCTGTGTTTGTGAGACATATTAATCTGTAGTGCTTTTCTTTAATGTACTGTTCTTGTAAGATTTTATCAAGGATTTGCTGAACTCATCAACTAAAAGGTGAGTGTTCCAACTTTTTTTAATGCCCTGAGAGTTTGTGTAAGATTAGAATTGTTTCTTTCTTAAATGTCTTTTTGTTTTTAATTATGCCAGTGCTGTAATTAGTTATCTGCATCTTCTGTTTCTAGCTTGCAGTTGTTAAGCATCTACCAGTTGTTGAAACAGATCCTCAGAGAAACAAGTCATCAGAGACTGAATCCCTGAAGTTGAATCTCTGAGAATTCTTATTAAGAATGGCTTTAGATCTCAGAATTTCATTTCAAGGTGAACCATCCAGGAGTGATTCTCAGTCAGAAAACCCAGAGCTTAAACCCAGCCAAGGACCTGACATCCTGGAAGGAGAAGGGATCTCCGACTTCCCAAGCCCTCAGCTCGGCTTGTTGCAAAACAGCAGTAACTCATGCGCAAGGCAGGAGCTGCAAAGACTCTATAAGTTGTTTCATGCATGGCTACAGCCAGAGAAACACAGCAAGGACCAAATTATTTCTTGTTTGGCCTTGGAACAGTTTATGATCAGTGGCCATTGCAGCGACAGGTCCATGTTGAGAGAGAAATGGAATTCAAGTGGCAGAAATTTGGAGAAATTCATGGAAGATTTGACCGATGATGGTATGAAGCCGCTTGGCTTAGTGAGTAGAGGGTTCTGACCTTTTGGGTGAGGGGCCGAGGGGTATAGGAACGAGTACAGCCTGTTGGGAGTCGCCTAGAAGTAGAGAAAGAAGAGTCATTGTGGAAGGAGTCATTACTTCTCACCAAGGAGAATCTTAGCCATCCTAACTAAGTAAGAATGAAAGCACAAGATGTTTTTTTGTTGTTGTTCTTATCATTAGTCTACAATTACATGAAGAACATTATGTTTACTAGGCTCCCCCCTTCACCAAGTCCCCCACACACCCGAAAGCACAAGTTTTATAGGCATTATTCAGCAGGGCACATAGAAGCCATCACATTCATTGATCTTAGCCAGTGAGATGGTAGGAGGGCCCACTAAGAAATTGACAGAAAGCTCAAGAATGAGCAGAAATGCCTTAACACAAGCTGTTTCTTCCTTCAAAAGGCCTTAGTTAGTATTTGGGTATTTTTTTTTAATTAGCAAAGACATGTCAGGAAGAATTACCGTGAATTTAAGGGCAGTAGAGGACCTGGGGGGTGTGGGAGCGGGCAGGGCAGGGGCCTGGGGGAAGCCTGATGGGGCAGGTTTTCCACAAAGGCTTCTGTCACTCATCAGACCCATATATTGACAGTGACTGAGCTTCTTTTTTACAGGTGCACGTCCATATGCAGGGACAGGAAGCCCTCTTTTCTGAGAATATGCCCTTAAGAGAAGTCATTGTTCATTTCATGAAACAGTTGTCCACAGGAACCCCAAGAGGAGACGACATGGGGACACCCTCCTGGCCTCCCCAGGAGGCTTCCCTGGAAACAGGACCAGGTGGGTCAGGGGAGCGCAGGTGCCTGAGGGATGTTCTGTGTGGGTCCCTTTTGGGGTACAGCTTCATTGAGTCACTTCATTTCTACAGGAGATGAAGACAAGGAAAATGGTGGCAACATTTCTTTGAAAATTTGTCAAGTAAATGGCAGTATTGCGAGTCAGGGCAACGAAACGCCTTCCCTACTCATGATCCAGGGAGAGCACGGTCCTAGGCCTGAAGAGCAGGCTGTTTCTTTGAAGAATCCACTGAGCTCTGCACGGGCAGGTCCAGGCACCTCCAGGGCCCAGGAATGGGCCCTGACTGGGCCTTCTTCTCAGGATGTCCTGATGGAGGCGGGACCAGGCTTTCTTCCCAGGCCAGACCAGGCCTCCCCTGAGCCTGTTCCTAACAATCAGGGCATCGAGGGAAACTCCACACGTGGGGGACAGCAAGAAAAATTCCACAGGGCCCCCAAATCATACAGATGTGAAGAGTGTCCCAAGATGTTTAGGTGTTTATCTCAGCTAAAAGCCCATCAGAGAAGACACAGTAATGAGAGGACATTTATTTGTGCCAAGTGTGGCAAAGGCTTCTTCCAGACGTCAGACCTACGCCAGCATCAGAGGATTCATGCCGGAGAGAAGCCTTTCGTGTGCAGCACGTGTGAAAGGTCCTTCAACCACAAAACCAACCTCCAGGCTCACGAGAGAATCCACACGGGAGAGAAGCCCTACACGTGTCCCCTTTGCCGGAAAAGCTACCGCCAGTCATCCACCTACCACCGCCACCTGCGGGCTCACCAGAAAACCGCCTTCAGAGGTGTTTCTTCCACACCAGAAGC